GTCTTTTGAAGAATAGAAATTTTAATGAATTTTTCTTTATAGTTAACTCTTTTATATCCCAATTAAGAAATCTGTGTCTACCCTAAATTTGCAAAGATTTTCTTAAATGTTTCTAAGAAATTATATAGCTTTTGCTTCTCGGTTTAGGTACTTGATGCTGTTAATTTAAAGAGCGAGTGGTTCATCTTTTCCCAAGTGGGTGTTTGGTTGTTCCAGCATCATTTCCTGAAGAGACTATTCTCTTCCTATCAGATTACCTTGGCTCCTTGGTCAAAATTGACAATATGTGTAAAGTTCTATATATTTTGTTCCACCGACCTATAAGACTCAACTGTTCTAAGACCTTGTATAGTTCCAAATAGACTAAGAGGAGTTTGACTGGGATGATGTTGAGTCTGCACATTAGCTTGGAGAATTGACATCTAACAGGAGTGAGTCATTCCTTCCACAGTCTACTTACGTTACATCATCTTTAATGTCTCTCAGCAGCGTTTTGTAGTTTTATGTGGATAAGACTCTTGTGTGTTTCTTGTAATTATTTCTAAGTAATTAATACTTTTTGATGCTATTTAAATGCTGTTGTGTTGGGGTTTTCTATTTTAGTTTTCATAATTTCTTCATTGCTAAAATAAATAGTTTTGCATCTTGGCCTTCTCTCCTAAGAACTTGCCCCCAAACAGTTGTAGTACCCAAACAATTGCAGCATATTGCTTTGGGGTTGTCTGTGTGTCAGAGCATATAGCCTACCTACACACGAAGATGGGCTTACAACAGTTTTCCACACTGCATCTCTGTTTTCAGCCCCCCAACCCCCTCTTGCCATAATGTCCTAGCTAGGGCACATCTAGTGGAAGGGATGTCCTTGCTTTAGTTCCAGTCTTAGGAATTAGCATTCTCTCTTTGACCATTAAGAATGATGTTATCAGTGGGTTTTTTATAGATTTCCTTTATCAGGTTGAAGAAGATTCCTTCTCCCCTTAGCTTGTTGAAAGCTGTTATCGTAAATGAATTTTGTCCATAAAGTTCACAGAACTATCTTGTTGGTAGTCTTCTATCTTGTTGCCGCCCGTGTCAGGCATTAGCATGTCATGTGAAGTAAATTTATTTCATTTTCTTAATAACATAGAAAAATCAGGTCCAAACCCCAAAGTCCCCCGTACACATTAGCATATACTGCACATAAAGCACATGCAGTCATTATATTTTGCTGAATCAAGTGTACCAGTGCCAGGTGCCACTTTCTTTTTTCCATTACTCTAACTCCTGAATTTTTTATTATAGTGTGTGAGCCTCCCCCCCCCCTTTTTTTATTTGCAAAGATTATAGGATGTTTTGGTAATGTGATGTTTGTACTCCAAAAACAAATATAGACATTATATTTTGTTATGTTTCTGCTTCTACTGTTTTACTGACATCTTGAAAAGCATTCAAATCCATTATCCAATATTTGAGGTTTACTATTTTTTAAAAGATGCTGATTCAGTATTTTGGATAGTTGCACTTAGATTTCTCAGTCGCCGTTTTACGTAGAGTCCCAGGGTATTTGTGCAGCTAGTTAATTTAAACACACCTGGTCCTCTGTAGCATGATCTTATTCTTTCTACTAAGTCAGAAATGCAGGTAAATTACAGTTGGCACCCTCTTAATTCTGTTTTTAATTGACTCTTGGCAAATAAATGGAAAAAAATGAGACATATTTATAATCAGGAAATCACACAGGTAATTCTATTTTGGAATGTCCGAACATTCTGTATACAATTTGGGACATACAGTATTTTTAGGAAATCACACGTGTACCTTTAAACAGATTTGTTATGGTTTTGTGTTCACTGTTTCATTTGTGTATGTTCTGTTTTCCGTTTATAATATCAGTTCCTTAAAGGCCAAGGGCTTTATCATGTGCACTTGTAAAATACAAGGTTAGTTGAAGTTTTCTTGGCTATAAATTTAGTTCCTTTTGGAGGGAGGGTGGGGTAGAAAGGGGGAACCTATTACAGGGATCTATATATAACTTCCTCCCTGGGGGACGGACAACAGAAAAGTGGGTGAAGGGAGACATTGGACAGTGTAAGATATGACAACATAATAATAATTTATAAATTATCAATGGTTCGTGAGGGAGGGGGCAACGGGGAGGGAGGGGGAAAATGAGCTGATACCAAGGGCTCAAGCAGAAAGCAAATGTTTTGAGAATGATGATGGCAACCTAATGTGCTTGACACAATGGGTGGATGCATGGATAGCAATAAGAGTTGTATGAGCCCCCAATAAAATGTTAAAAGAACAATTTAGTTCCTTAAAGTGCCATGCCCTGAACGCCTATGCCTTCAGGCATAGGTATTTTCCCTCACTTTACATGGCCCCTCCTTGGCCCTGGTTAACCTTGGCTTTGAGTGCAGTCCATCCATTCCCATTCCTCACTTCCAGGACACAGTAGACACATCCTCTTTGTAGTCCTTAGATGTAGTTATTGCTCTCCATTCATTCTTTTTCCATTGAAAGAGCATTTTTTATAATCATTTTATTGGGGGCTCGTACAACTATTAAAAGATCATTTTATTGGGGACTTTTACAGCTCTTGTAAGATCCTCATTCACTCTTGGCCAGGGCATGAACCATAACTTGTTTTCTGGTTTGGGTTTTTTCCCTTGTTACCAAACACTGAGCTCAAACCAGCTGTCATCAAATTGACCATGACTCATAACAGCCATACTAGGGTTTCCAAGACTGTACATCTTTACAGGACCTGGCAGCCTCATCTTTATTCCTGAGAACAGCTAGTGGGTTTGAACCACCAACCATGTGGTCAGCAGTGCAGTAACTCACAGTATTACCAGGGCTTCTTCAGGAGTTCTTTAAAGCTGCTGCTTCTGATTCACTGCGTGGAGTCATTGCCAACTCATAAAAAGCCTATAGGGCTGGGTAGACCTTCCCCTGTGAGCTTCTGAGACTAACTGTTTACGGGAGTAGAAAGCCCTGTCTTCTCCCTCAGAGCAGCTGGTGGTATTGAACCACTAAGCTTGTGAATTGCAGCCTAATGGGTAACTACTGTGCCACCAGGGCTTCTCAATGTAATAATGTACTACATTAATAGTGAAGGGAAAGAGTGACATGATCATTTCAATTAGTTCCCAAAAATTATTTGGAAAAATATAATAACCTTTTATGATAAAAGTATTCAACAAGACAGGAATAGAAAGAAGATCCCTCCAAAAAGCATTTATGAAAACCCACAGCTAACAGCATACTCGTGGAGAAGCCTGGGAGTTTTTCATTGAGATCAAGACTAAGGCAAGAATGCCTGCTCTCGCCACTGCTGTCAGCATCATTCTGGAAGTCCTAGCCACAACAATTAGGCTAGAAAAATAATAAAAGGTATCCAGATTGGAAAGGAAAGAACGTTCTTGTAGGATCATGTCTTTTGCAGATGACATGGTCTTATATATAGAAAATCCCAAATATCCTACAAAAGCTAATAAGTGAATTCAGCAAGATGTCTGGGTACAGGTCAGCACTCAAACATCAGTTGGGTTTCTATACACCAGCAATGAACAATCAGAAGAGGAAATTAATGGAAATGTTACAGCATCTAACTGCAAAGAGTGCTTAATAAATTTCACTAGGACTGTGATAAAAACTTGGAAGCAACATTAATAAAGCATTACTAAGACCAAGACACCCAAAATTCCTGGGAGGACTCAGTTCATGATTTGGAAGGCTTCAGTAGTTAAGATGCCACTACCACCCAGAGCCACATCTTTATCAATGCAATAGTCATCACAATGTCGACAGTATTCGCTGCAGGAATGGGCAAGTCGGTCCTTAAAGGGACAGGGAAAGGCTAAAGCTGTCTTGAAAAAGAATGAAGAAAGAGGACTCCCTTCCTGATGTCAAACATACTATAGAGCTACAGTAGTTTAAACAGCCTTGTACTTATATAGCAGTAGACGTGTTTTGTTGTATGTCATTGACTCAGTTCTGACTCCTAGCACCCTAAATATAACCGAGTAAAGCTGGCCCAGAGGCTTTCCCCGTCTGTAACCCATGGGGAAGCAGATGGCCAGGTGTTGTCTAACATGGAGCTAGCTGCTAGGGGCTTCAAAACACCAGCCTTTGGGTTAGTTGTGTAATAGATATACACTATACAAGAGGCCTTCCAAGACATTCATGGAAAATTGGAATTATCTTCTAATCGAAACAATTGAAAGACGTATATTTGAATTTCACTTTTCCATGAACTTTTTGAAGCTCCCTGTGTGACGGAGTGCAATCCCAATCCTAGATCCAGCCCCTAGATAGGAAGTGAGGGCAGGATCCCAAGCAGCCATCAGGACCCTAGTGTTCAGTCACCGGAGCTCTTCTCAAAATAGCCAGGAGGTGGAAACAATGCAATTGTCTGTTAGCAGATGCATAGGTAAATGATTTGGTGCATGCACGCGATGGAACGAAAGTTAAGCAGTTGTAAAAAGAAGTGAGGCCCTGGTGCACAGCCACAGTGTGGAAGTACCTAGAAAATGTGCTGAGGTACCTGAGTCAGCAGCAAAGGGCAAATCTTGTGTAATTTTCTTTTATGTGAAACAGGTCGGTCTGTAGAAAGAAGATTAATCATGTTTGATGGTGGCCGTGAGTCAGAAGCGACTTGATGGCCGTGGACTGGGTTGCGTTTTCGGTCTGGTTGGTCTTCTGACCAGGGCTAGGAGTTCTTGTTTGAGGAGCTGTGGGGTTCTTGTCAGTGCTGGTGGGAATGGGCATGAGGAGCGTGAGAAGGGTGCGTGCCATGAACAGTGCGGTCACGATCATTGAATTCTCAACGTAGACATGGTTGTTGTGTGGTGGATGTTTGGGGGTGTGTGTTTGTACCCCAATTTAAAGGGGGGGGACATATGAACCCCCCTGTCAAGTGAGAGTAAAGGGAAGTATTAGGTGTATTTTTATGTATCTGCTAAACTGTATGCCTGCAGTTCTTAAAACATATTTTTTACCTTTTTTTTCCCACCTAGGTGAGACCTTGAAAGGAAAGATCACAGTTCACAAGAATAAGAAAGATCCACGTTCTCTCATTGTGACCCTCACATTGAAAAATTCAACACAGACTTACGGTCTCCAGTGAAAAAAATCACAAAAGCACAACTAATGTATAGCTTTCAATGTGGGGGGTGGGGAAGAGGCTGGCCAGAGAGGGATCTAGGAGCCCTCTGTGAGCACACAGATGGTGGGAGCTTCTCCTGAGGAGTCTCCTGAATCAGAGGGAGGCACAGGAGGAGCCTGGCCTTACTTAGCCGAGAAAGGCTACCAGATGATCCGTGGCCACCTCCTTGGGTAAACTTGCTCTTGGAAGTAATTCAGACATTCAGGTTAGCTATAGTGGAAATCATTTAAATTGACCCAAGTTTGGAACAGAGATAATCTTTTGTTATTTTTAGTAAGTCTCTTATTATAATATGAAGTAGGAAAATTACATTTCCTAGTGTAATTTTAAACAATGGTGTTAATTAGCTATTTGGATTATGTTTTATTAAACCAGTAGCCATGCACAAGGTGTTAAACACATTTTATTGCAGATGGAGAAGGAACAGTTTTTAATGGTATGATTTGCAAGAATATTAGGGTGTTTGTGATCAAAGAGCAAATAACACAGAGAAGGCAGCATCAGCCTTCGTGCACGGACCTTTCTGCTGGGAAAATAGCTTAGAGAGTAGAGTATCCCATTGGCATTACCTGTCTTTCTCATTTTGAAGCTGCTTCTCTTTGTAAATACTCTTTGGCCATATAATTTTTTAGTACTGACCAGGAAATCTAATTTCAATATGTGTATCTTCGGTTTCATAAAAGTTTTTAAAGATATATATATATATATATGTTCTACTTATTTACTAGGACTTTTTTCAAACTAGATTTATGTGCAGAGGTTAAATATACTTATTATATCGCTCTATACGATTTTGCCATTTACAATTACTGAAATGCAGAATGGAAAGCGTTTAATAAAACGTATAAAACAACGGTTAGCCTTTTAACATGATGTTTCAACTTATTAAAATCTTTTGTAACATCACTCGGAAGCATTTAGAGTAAATCCTACAAAGGAATCATTTTGAAGAAAACAAGGATTTTAAAGAGAGCTGGGCACATGGCTCTTAAATTCAGCAACTAGTTCTTCATCTGCATGAGACGTACACACGCATGTGTGGCCTAGTGTGGAGCAGTCTGCGTTCTGGCTTCAGTGCCTAAGTTAAAAGGCTGGCCTCCGCATTTTCGCTTGCTCTGTTGACTTAGTCACAGACCTTAATGTTTATATCACCGTCTGAGTTAGTCCACGTCTAAACACTGAGTGCCCGCCACACAGAAAGCAATAAATGTCAGGTGCCAGTCTCCTCATTATCGCCCCATGAAAACCCCTTTCAAAGAATCCCTGGCATCCATGTGCACGCTTCCGAAGGTTGGACCTTGACAGAGGAAGGCGGAAGGATCGATGTACTGAACTGTGGTGTTGCCAAGGATATTGCCTGCCCCGCGAGCTTCCCGAAGAACGGCCAAGGTGCTCGTAGAAGGAACTCAACCAGAATGAGCCTTTGCTCTCTTACCTTGCGTTCATGAGAAAAGAAGCTGATTGAGAAGGGCATCCTGCTGCGCACGTGATCTAAAGGGATTGGTGAAAATGCAGGAAATCCCCCTACTGTGGAAAACGGCCCGTGGACGAGATCATACCCCAGACTGAAGACAGCGCAGGGTCAGACAGCGTTTGATTCTTTCATCCGCAAGTTCACCGGCTGAGCAAGAGCTTAACCTAATTCATTTGACGGTTGTCGACCTTATCATGACATAATTATGAAGCTACATAAATAGGTGATTAAAAGTACATTAATTTAAAATGGCATAATCTGCTTATAAAGATAAACTGTCTTTTGTCTTCAGAGGACTAGACTAACAATAGGAGAAACAATCCTTCCAAATGATAATATTAAAAATATATATTTTTTTGCATATCAGCTTTATGTTCAACAGTTAAATACACAGATTGGTGCCTGGCTGATTGCACGCCCCTCGATGGGCCGTCGTGTAGTTCACTTCTTGTGTTTTCTGTTTCCGTTCCTCATTCCTTCCTAACCCTGAATGTTGTCCTGGGCAGATGCTGCCCTCTTGGTCTCAGATGAGCTGTTCTCCGGTGAGCACACCTCACTAGTGTTACCGTTCCCCTGATGGACCTGTCTCTTCTTTTTTTGGCTGAAAATGGAGCCACAGGCTGAAATCCGTTTCAGAGCCGAAAGAGGGTGACTAAGGACCATGCTCTGGGGGTGGGTTTCCCCCAGTCTACCTAATCAATAAGCCTGATTGATTGTAATTTTGAATTTTCTTCCATATTATTTTCTCTCTCTACTGAGGATCTTCTACTGTGATCCCTTTCAGAGCAGTTGGTGGTGGAAGCGGGGCACCATCTAGTTCTGACCCCGGGCCATGGAGATTAGTATTTGTGTGTCTACCTTTCCAAGTGTCATTTCTTTTCAATGGGCTCGGCCTCCAGTGTGCTTTCACTGTGGGTTTGAACCCACACCATTACTGGAAATGTGTAGTGCTAATGTTACAACTCAAAGCAATTCTGATTTTTTCTTGGGTTTACTGTACAGATTTTAGTAAATTGGGGTGATAATATAAGTAAGGAGGCCCATGCGAAGATTAAGTATAATAGTTAGCTAGCTCGAGGTGGGCTGCTAACTGCAAGGTCAGCAGTTTGAGACCACCACACTGCATGGGCAAAAGATGGGGCATTGTCCTCTGTAGAGTCTCAGTCTTGGGAACTCAGTGACAGGTTTACCTTGTAGGGTTGCTGAGTTGGCATCAACTCAATGGCAGTTCACTTTCGTTTAAGTGGCCAAAAACCACTGTTTGTAGTTTTGATTTTTCTTTTCTTCTCAGTACACAACTATTTGATATATTTTAAAAGTGTACATTTTTAAAATATCAAAATCTCCCTACCCCCCTCATCTTTGATTTTTTTATGGATTTTCTCCCACAGAATTGCTGCCCTAGTCCTTTTGATTTTTCTTCTAATCGTTATCATTAGCCCAGCCATAGCTGTTGGAACTTTATTCTTTTCAGTTTGCCTTTCCAGGCTGGAACATTCCTATTTTTGTACCTAAACACTTTATGAGCGCAGGAGAGTCCAATTGTTAGCTCTCCAACTGGAATTTCTGCTATTAAATTGCAGTGAAAAATAAGTACTTCATAGCCCATGACAATGATAAATACATTGTCCTTTTCATGCTGTGGCAGATGGGAGTTTATGGGTAGCAATTTATTCTAGCTCAAGGATTTTATTTTATTTCCATTAAGAAAATACATTTCTCTCCTTGCTTTTTGGGAACTAACATTATGTGGTCATGTGTGAGTTTCATCCAACTATGCTCGTCATCTGTCTATAGAGGAACTGTCCTTTCTAAAGCGAGCCCTTTGAAAAGAAGTGTTTCGAAAGAACAGTACTCTGGGTCTGCTATGTTGCAAAGAGTCGTCAAATAAGCAGCCACAGGGACTGTAGAGCACAGTTTGCATTTTCAAATAGTCTCTGCCGGGGCATCGGTGAAACCCTAGTCCCACAGAATTGCTGCCCTACTCATCATCATTCCATCAAGAGGTAGTCTCAGAAACCCACAGGAGCAGTTCCGCCCTGTCCTGCGGAGTCCTGTGACTGAGAACCACCCCGTGGCGGTTGAGCTTGCTTACTTTGGAGTGTAGAGGGACCACTGTGGCCCACCTGTGCCCAGCGTTTTACCTCGCACTTCTTGAAACAATATCTAAAATGCATTCCGTGGCTGTCCTGATTTCAGATCATAGCCATTACTACTCGGAGCAGTCATGTGCGCAGGGCAGGAAGAAGGGTAATACAGTCCTGTTAAAAGTGTTCAACGGGAATATTCAGGGTGATGAGTGAGTCTGTCCATGTCTGAAATTCTGGTTTGAGCTACTAGGCTGTCATATACCCACAGTACTTCAACACTCAGGGTTTTCTGTCTTGCAGAATAGCCCCGCAATATAAGAGGGTACCCCCCCAAAAAAACAATCCCTGCCCCCCCCCCCAAAGCTGTTTAAATTTTTTTACAAAACAACTTTATGCCCTTCAAAGTACTCTCTATTACACTTTATGCATTTGTTAGATCTGCGATGCCATACGTGGAAACCGTTTTCAAAATGTCTATTTGGATGGCTGACAGCAACTCCCTCGTTTTTTTCTTCACCTCTTCTACTTCATCAAATCACTGTCCTTTCATGTCCCTCTTCATTCGCGGAAACAAAGTAGTAGCACAGAGCAAGGTCAGGTGAGTATAGTGCGTGGGGCAAGAGAGGCATGCTGTTTTTTGCGCCAAACTGGTGTACTAAGATGGCTGCGTGAGCAGATACACTGTAATGGTGGCAAAGCCAGTCCCTCATTTTGCCACACTTCGGGCCTTTTTGTCTCACACTGTTAGATGTAATCTTTCCAGAAACTCTAACTAGAATGCTTGATTAACAGTCTGACCTGTTGAAGCAAACTCCAAATGCGTTACAACTCAACAGTTTTGTCCATTGGGACGCTGACGGACATCCAGAACAATGTTTGTCTTCACTCGACATTGCTCCTTTTTGAAACGAGAACACCACTTATATGTACACTTGAGTTTTTCCCATAGCACCGTGTTCAACATCACAACAGTTTCTGCAGCATTTTTCCTGAGCAGGAAACAATTTCACAGCTGTGTACTGTTCTCTTAAATCAGCCATCTCACACAAAAAAAACAGCATTTGACCAAAACTGCTTTTATGAAAAATTTCACTGTGACCAGAGAGTACCTTCCCAGGCGACCTCACTGGGTGCACTAACTCAGAGTGAGGTGTCAATGCTTGCCTAGTGGGGAAAATCCATAATACAAAAGCTCTGCTTGGCACAATTCTGGGTTTTTTTTTTTGGGGGGGGGTGGTAAGTCCCTTTACATGTTAACCATACAGCACTGTTGTGGAGTTCCAGCTACATCCTAACTCATTTGCAGAACCTGAAAATGTTGCAGAAATGTCATCTATACTTGTTATCTCGTGCTTTGGGGATAGACCAATTTGTTAGGAAAAACTAAATTTACGAGAAAAACTGCAAACGGGGCAATGTTTATCACCTTAAGATCATCTAGTAGTATAGCTTAAAAATGTATACAAATACCTTATTGAGTTCTAACTGCTTAATAAACATCCTGTAATCAGTAACAGAGATAAGTAAATTATGTCAGTCACTTCATGGAGTATTATGCACTCAAGAATACGAGGCCCTGAAAAATGTGGAAAAGCTCATGATAAAATTGTTAGGTTTAAAAACAAGCAACTTGAAGTATAATCACTTACAAGAAAAATATCTACATATACCTTCATAAAACATTGAGAGGCTTCACAACGCCATGCTAACCACCATCTAGTTGATTCCAGTTCATAGTGACCCAATAAGAGGGTAGAATTGCCCTTGTGGGTTTCCGAGACTCTTTATGCAAATAGAAAGCCTCGTGTTTCTCCCACAGAGTGGCTAGTGGTTTCAGAGTGCTGCCCTTGCAGTAGCAGCCCAACACAGACAATTCACCAGAGCAGGCTCCTATTGCAAGGGTACCATACGATACAACAATGTGTTCAAAGGATTGGATTTGCAGTGACCTTCCTCTAGCACCTATCCTTTCAATAATGTTGCAGAGTGGAAAGGTCTTAAAATAAAACTGAGTAAATCCAGTCCTACTTGTAAAGTGACAATAGTAGAAATGTGCCCACCAGGCCCCTTCATGAGTTCAGTCCACATGGAAGCCTAAGAACTACACACTTGGCAAAATCCTACCCTCCTCTACCAGTGTTCACAGCCTTGAGACCATTTATTTAACTTGGCACCTTCACAGCTAGATTTCATAACGTCTTTCCTTGTTCTCCACCATAAGCAACCCTGGTCTCCCAGTTCATTCTGCATCCCACCTTCTGGCTCAGTGCATTTCTTAGAAAGTGTGACCCCTTAACCTTTAATCCAGCGATCTTAACACTCACTCCCCACAGTCACACTCCTGTTAGTTGCCATTGGCTTGCCTTCTGAGGTGCCTCCGGTTTGAACTGCCGACGTTTCAGTTTGTAGTCTAATGCTTAACCATGTGTACCACCCAGTGACTCCTGGTTTTATAACTCCCCTCAACCCAAAATTCAAAAAACTAAAGCTGTTGCTTTTGAGTTGATACCATCATGTGTTACAGCATTGAACTGCTCCATAGGGCTTTCTTGATGTAATCTATATGGAAGTATCACGCTAGTGTTACTGGGCAGGCTCAACCACCCACCTTCCAAATTAGCAGCTAATTACAGGCTACTTGCACCACTCACAGTATTTACCCATAGTTCCATCTCCTATGTAATAGCAATTTTGAGTATCATTCTAACCACCCATCTTTCACCTCCCTCTTTAGTATCCCAATTCCAGCAATCCTTCAATCCACCAAGGCCAAAATCCATTGAGTCTGACCACATTTTCACCACCATCGCCTCTTCGTGTTTGACCTTCTCTTCGTACCCAGTTGAAAGCCATGGTCCATCACCCTAAAAAAGTCCTTTCATGAATCAACTTCCTTGCTTCTCTTCTATTTTCTCAACTACCTCATAATCCAGGTTAAATCTAAGTCCAGTGTGGCTGGAGGGAAAAACTGAACCTTGCTGGCTGCCTTGATGTTAAATTCATGACCCCTCATCCTAAGTGAAGGAGCCCTGATGGCAAGAGTTTGGAGTTTTAATCTCAAGTGAGCCTGATGTTCTAGCGCGTCAGCAGTGTGAGGCCACCAGTTCCTCTGAGGGAGAAAGATGAAGCTGTGTGCTTCTGTAAAGATCACTGCGCTGTAATCC